GGTGGGACTACAGGCTTGTGCCACCACACCCAGAAGTTTTAAATTTTTTTATGGATAGAGGGTTTTGCCATGTTGCCCAGGCTGGTCTTGAACTCCTGGGCTCAACTGATCTGCCTGCCTTGGCCTTCCAAAGTGCTGGGATTACAGATGTGAGATACCACACTCAGCCTGTGACTGAAAATTTGATTGTTCCTTTTCTCATATGGTCACCATTATTGCTTGGCTGGTAACAAAAATTAAAAAATCAGAGCTTAATATGACCTATAGTTTGAAATATAGGAAGTTAAGAAGGAGATTAATCTCACCCAGAAATATTTAATTTCCTTTATTGGTTACAACGTTAAAAAATCTAAGGAACATTGTTGGAAATGTATTTTGAGGGTTAGAAATTACTTTGCATAATATATAAGGACTGAAAGAATTCAGAAGTTTATAATGCTGAATTCGATCATACATGTCCATGCCCTTCACTCCATCTGCAAGTTCCTCTCTCGGGGCCCAATAGCCTTTCCTTATTCCTTTGGCATGAAGGAAGTCCTGAAAAATGTCCCTAGATCTCCGCCTTTCGGTGTGGAGACTTTTCGTGAGTGATTACATTTGAAAGAGTATCTGATTTCTGTAGAACTGTGGCATGTGTAGTGGCTGGATTATAGGGCAATCATTTTGAGAAGAAAGCAAAAAGGTTTTAATAAACCTCAGAACTCTAAGAGTGTTCTGATTTCTGATATTTCCACTGTAATGAATAATTGATCCCCAGTGTTGAAACTGCACTGAGGTCTTATTTTAATTAAAAACACTCCATGGCATGGCATCGAAATCTCACATTGAATTAAATCAGTGGCAGGGGACTGGGTACTCCTGAACGAGTGTAATTAAAAATTCTACGAACATTTCCACTGGAATTTGAGAAAGCCTTGCATTTATGCAGAGTGAGAGCTTATGTAAGAATTCTTGCACAAGTGTAGCTTAAAGCAAGGTGTATTGAGACCACAAATGCATACTGTGGCTGTTGAAAAACATGAGCTTTGAATGAAGACACCTTCTGAACAGGCTTTGTGTGAGCAACATGGCTATTTACCTGGGTGCAGGTGGGCTAAGGCCGAAAAGAACATTAGCAAAAGGCAGTAGGATACGAGTTGGTTTTATAGGTCTGGGTAGGTTTTTGGGGGGTGGGGGTGTTGCAGAGTAAGTTCAGTTACAGCGATGGGGGTAGGGGCAAGGAGCATTCAAGTTCAGTTACAATGGCAGGGTTGGGTGAGAGGCATTTACGTTATCATAAGAACAGTTAAGATGGCAGGGTTGGATGAGGGGCTTGTGGGAAGCTCCACGGGGTGAACAGGGTGGGAGACTTCAGCCAGAGGCAAGCAGGACTTTGGACTTTCAGGCTTCAGGCCTGCATATGGAGAACTGACAGCGGCTATTTTCCCAGGTCTTGGGTGTGCATCTGTTAATGATATCTGTGATGTGTGTCTATCAGATGAATTTTCTTCAATGCAGTGTGAATAGAAGCAATATGTCATTCGGAGCTTGGGTTTTAAGAAAAGGATGTTCTGTCCAGACGGAGGAAGAGGGTCAATCATATGGGACGGTAAAGCTGAAAGACAGAACTCTGTCCCCAAACCGCTATTTGGAGGAAAGCTCCCCAGTCACCGAGGAACACCAGCAATGGATTATTCTATGAGTGAGAAACAAACTTACATTGTGTTAAGGTAATGATACTTGGGTTTCAACTGTAATAGCAGTTACTGTAATTGTAATCAATTTAATACCTTTAACTACTGATAGAATTCCTATTTTCCCTCACTGAGCCATGGAGTAGGAACTGTCATGGTGCATTGGTTGCCTGTTGTTACAGCAAATCACCCCCAAAGCTTAGTGGCTGAAAACAGATAGACGTTCATTATCTTAACTTCTTTGGGTAAGGAATCCAGGCACAGCTTAGCTGGGTGCCTCTGGCTCAGGTTCTCTCGGAAGGCTACAGTCTACCTGTTGGCCAGTGCTGCAGTCATCTGAAGACTTTATTAGAGGCCAATCAGCCTTCAAGCTCATGTAAGTGAGTAGGACTCAGTTCCTCACAGGCTTTGGCTGGACATGTTGGTTCCTTTCCATGTGGGCCTCTCTGTAGGGCAGCTTACAATGGCAAGTGGCTTCCTTGACAGTGAGTGAGCAGGAGAGGATGCCCAAGATAGAAAATGAAGTCCTTATGTAACCTAATATGAGAAGCGATATCCCCTCATCTTTGTATTTGGTTAATTAGAAGTGACTAGGTCTAGCCTACCTTCAAGGGGAAGGGATTACAAAAGGGTTTGAATAAGAGGAGGTGGGGAACTTTGAGAGCCATCATAACGGCGTTCCACCACAGTCTTCCCTCTGGCCAGGACTTCCAGTGTTTCATGTCCCTTTCACATGCAAAATTTCACTTACCCCTTCCAAGGCCTCTCTCAGAGTCTCACCTCATTACAGGATCACTTCAAAGTCAATAATCTTGTAATCTAACATAGGAACAGGTGCTAATGAGGCCCATAAAATATAGTTTCTTGGCCGGGTGCGGTGGCTCAAGCTTGTAATCCCAGCACTTTGGGAGGCCGAGGTGGGTGGATCATGAGGTCAAGAGATTGAGACCATCCTGGTCAACATGGTAAAACCCCGTCTCTACTCAAAAGTACAAAAAATTAGCTGGGCATGGTGGCGCGTGCCTGTAGTCCCAGCTACTCAGGAGGCTGAGGCAGGAGAATTGCCTGAACCCAGGAGGCGGAGGTTGCGGTGAGCCGAGATCATATATATATATATATATATATATATGTGGTTTTTTAAGTATGGGTATTGATCTGCAGGCCTTTAGACTTAAAGAAAATAAAGAACAAGTTACCTGCTTTCCCTCCTCCACCACTCCTAACCAACACAGTAGAACCACTGCTCCACAGCAGTTCTGAAATTTGGCCAGACAAATGTTTAGAAATTTCTTGATTAGGTCACAAGGCCTGGGATAATTATCCACCATCTGAACTCTTGCTTCTGCCCTCTGAATCATCCTTTTGTCCTGAAATACATTTGCAGCTCAATAGCTTTCTTAGCTTGCTTAACAATACTAGAGTTTCAGGAATCTAGTGGTGTCACTTCATTTTGTGCTGTCTCTGTCCCTCTCACTCTAGTTGGCAGAGTTTCTACTGATTCTTCAGAAAATGTTGTAGGCTTCATGAAAATCTCATTGGGGTTCACTGCACTAGACAAAAGTCGCAGCCACAAATCTCTTTGAGGTAAGCTTCTTAGAGGCATAATGATTTGAATAAGAGTCTGTCAGATCTCCTTAATCTCTTTACAGAGCTTTTGTGGGGTTAAATAGTACTCTGAGATATCAGCTTTAGGTTTTGCTTTGTTGCCCAGGATGGAGTGCAATGGTAGGATAACAGCTCACGCAAGCGATCCTCCCACCTCAGCCTCCCGAGTAGCTGAGATTACAAGTGTACACCTCTACACCCAGCTAATTTTTGTATTTTTTAAAAGATGGGGTCTCACTATGTTGCCCAGGCTGGTCTCAATCTCCTGGGCTCAAGCAATCCTCCCACCTTGGCTTGCCACAGTGCTGGTATTCCAGGTATGAGCAATCACACTGGCCTGGTGTCTGTCATTAACTTTAGACAATTCTCAGTCATTATTCAAATATTTTCTCTTTCTTCTCTCTTCCCCTTCTGGTATTCCAGTTATGCATATATTTCACCTTTTGTAATTTTCTTTTTTCATTTTTTTCTTTGCATTTCAGTTTGGCAGATTTCTATTGACATATCTTCAAGCTCACTCATTCCTTTCTCAGAGTGTCTAGTCTACTGATAAGTTCATTAAAGGTTTTCTTCATATCCGTTACAGCATTTTCAATTGCTAGGATTTCCTTTTGATTCTTTCTTACAGTTTGCATCACTCTGCTTACATTACCCATCTGTTCTTGCATGTTGTCTACTTTGTCCAAGATGCTTCTCCTTCTATGGGCTTCCCTAAGAACTCCTTCTTAAATAGAGTTTGTGCCTTGCAGCTTTCTCTGTTGTAATCCACTGTTATTGACCAGAGCCCCATTAGTGTGGCAGTGAGGTACAGTGGGAAGGGAAGCATTCTATAATCTTATTATTAAATACCAATTTTTTAGTGAGCTTGAGTCCTCGGACTGTGATCTTCAGAAGCACTTCTTAGCCTTTTAAAAATCTTGCCTTACTGAGACAGGCTATAGAGGAACTAGAGCTGGCTAAATGCCTCTCCCCAAGGTCCGACAACTCTAGTAAGTAGTTTTCCTTGGAGTGCAGTTGTTTATTACGGAGAATGCTGTGGTTACTCTTCTCCTCCCCTTGCCCCAAACCCTGAGATTTTCCCCCATTCTTCACTGTGAGAATTTGAGAGGGTTTCTGGAGGTAAAATTCCGGGAAGTGTGAGGACCCATCTAAGATTAGGACCCATGAGTTTTTAACTCACAAGTTAGCCCATACTAAGCCTCCAGCAGTTCATCAAAATTAAAAAATAAAACTTTCTAGCAGTTTATAGCTCCAGTGGCTTCTGCTTCAAGTACGCTAAGCTTGGGTGTGATTTTATGTATTTTTCTCTCTTAGGCTTTTGTGGTGTCAGTTTCCTTTGTATCTTTAGTTCTCTGATGAATCTAAGAAAAGTCGATTTTCAGTTTGTTGAATGATTTTGTTGTGAGAATGGGAATGAAGGCTTCTGAGCTCTTTATATGCCAGAGCTAAAGTGAGAATATTATCATTTTTATCCAATTCAATTAACCACAAAACGTTACAAGCTCTCAGATGGCATTTGCTGTTTCATAGAGAAGGTATCTTCACAGCTAGACTTAGTTTTCTTACTATATCTTAGGTAAACTGGATCCAGGAGAGTCCAGTTCAGGTGTGACTGTGTGGCCTTGATTGTGACTGGGAGGGTGTTAATTTCTGGTGAGCCGGTATCTATGATGCTGTGTCTTGGTCAGCTGGGGCTGCTATAACAAAATATCATAGCCTGAGTGACTTGACTAAGAAACTTTATTTTTCACAGCTCTGGAGGCTGGAAATTCAAAGTGTTGGCACGTTCAGCTCTTGGCGAGGGCCCTCTTCCCTTGCAAACAGCTTACATCCTGCCGTGTCCTCACATGGCCTTTTCTCGGTGGTCGTGTAAACATGGAGACCCCTCCTTCCTCTTCTGCTGCAAGTGCAGTGACCCGATCATAAGGGCATCACCCTTATGACCTAATCTAAATCCAGTTACCTCCCCAAAGTCCCTATGTCATCACCCTAGGGGTTAGGGTTTCACCATATTAATTTTGGGTTGACATATTCGGCCCGTAACAACTTGGTCATGATGAGACTGGTGATGCTAGATTTCGTGATTTCTTAAAAAAAGCAAAACAAACTAAGTACCTACTATGCGCCCTTTTAGTCACTGAGGATATAACCCTGCACAGGACTGAAGCTGTGCGCCTTCTTGGAACCCTCCTTCTAGCAGGGAAAGAGAGAATGGGGTGGGGGGAAGTGAGGGGCGCACCTTCTATCAGAGAGCGGTAACTAGCAGGCGTGAAATAAAACAGGCTCCAGACGTGCACCGTCAGAAGGTCACAAGTGTGCAAAGCAGGCATTTCTAAATCTCTTCACTTTTCTATCTCGTAGGCTCCTCCCGAGCCCCAAGCCCCACGCCCCGTCCTGTGTCACGGTTTTCCTCTCTCCGGGTATCCGCCACGCCTTACTCACTGCGTTTCAGTGCTGTCCAACTGCGCCTGCGCACCCTACACCTGCGACCCCCCCCCCCGCCCCCACCCACCACAGGGGGGCGCGCCTGCGAGCTGGAAGCCCGTTCTCTGCGTCCTGAGCCTGGCAGCGGCGTCTGCACACTCGGAGCCTGGCGATGGCTTCCAGAAACCCGGCGCCGGGGTTCGCTTCAGTGAAGCGGCCTGTACTTCGGGGACCCACAATCCGGGCTGAGAGGCCTCCTAACCCAACCAGGAGGACCAGGAGAGGCCCTAGAGGGGGACACAGGACAGTGACCCCCAGGCTCGAAGACGCTCCGCTTCTGGCAGACCCGGCGCCCGATTTCTGCACGCCGCTTCCGTTCAGAACTACGCTTCCCAGGGGCCATTGCAGTGGAGGACACGCTCACTTCCGGAGAGGACCCGAAGCCAGACGAGTGAGAGTCCCGCCGGGTGCCGAGGAGAAAGCGGGCCCGGGCGGGGGCGGCGGCGGCGGGGATGGTGTCCCGGCTCCTGTGTGGGCGGCGGTCGTGAGCGTGCGCGTGCCCGTGCGCGTGCGGCCTCGTGGCTGTGAGTGCCCGTACGTGGCGAGCGTGTGGTGAGGCGCCGAGGAGGAGCGAGCGCGCGCGGTAATCGGGGCCCGCTGTGTGGCCGCGCTGCGTGACCGCCGGGTGCGTGGCCGCGAGTCTGCGCCCGAGCGCTCGTCCCGGCCGCGCGCTGAAGGCGGTGTGTGCTGGAGTGAGTGAAGCGAGAGCAGGAAGCCCTCCCGGAGGAGGCTGACCCCGCCCTCTCCCGTACCGGCTGCGTAGAGCCCAGTGTGGGCACATCCCTAGAGCCCGAGGAAGGTGCCCGGGCGCGGCGGCCTCTGCGGAAGCGTCTTCCGTCGGCCCCATCTGCAGGGGGCGGAACTCAGGACACGGCCCCATGTGCACGGGACAGCGAGGAGCCGAGACCGTGGGCTCTGAGTACGCAGGTGAGAAGGACACGTGACTTGGATGCGGCTGCGAGAGTGGACATTGAGGTTTCGGGTGTGTCCTTCGGGGTCCAGGGGCCGGAGGAGGATGTCCCCGGTTTCTTTTCTTTTTTTTTTTTTTTTTTTGAGACGGAGTTTCGCTCTTGTTACCCAGGCTGGAGTGCAATGGCACGTTCTCGGCTCACCACAACCTCCGCCTCCTGGGTTCAGGCAATTCTCCTGCCTCAGCCTCCCGAGTAGCTGGGATTACAGGCACGCGCCACCACGCCCAGCTAATTTTTTGTATTTTTAGTAGAGACGGGGTTTCACCATGTTGACCTGGATGGTCTCGATCTCCTGACCTCGTGATCCACCGGCCTCGGCCTCCCAAAGTGCTGGGATTACAGGCACGCGCCACCATGCCCAGCTAATTTTTTGTATTTTTAGTAGAGACGGGGTTTCACCATGTTGACCTGGATGGTCTCGATCTCTTGACCTCGTGATCCCCCGCCTCGGTCTCCAAAGTGCTGGGATTACAGGCTTGAGCCACCGCGCCCGGCCGATGTCCCCGGTTTCTAAGGCAACTGGACCCAGAAGTCCAAAGATTTGGAGCGTCTCCTTGGGCCAGAGTGGAGCTGGGTTTACGGAGAGACTTCGACTTGCCCAGAGGCACCTAACCAGATACCCGACTTGGGTCCTTGGGATGTAACTAAGGGCCCGGGGGAGAGAACGTTACCCGTTATAGTACCCATTATAACGTTACCTCTGGGTACTCTGCTGCTCCTCAAGGGAGATCTCAGCATTTAGATTTTTACCCACCAGAGCCTTGTCCTATCTGTCACTGTAGGATGGGACTTGGGAAGGCCGGACGTGGTGGCTCACGCCTGTAATCCTAGCACTTTGGGAGGCCGAGGTGGGTGGATCACCTGAGGTCAGGAGTTCAAGACCAGCCTGGCCATCATGGTGAAACCCCATTTAAAAAAAAAAAAAAAAAAAAAAGGATGGGACTTGGGAAGAAGGCGAGATTCCCAGCTTCACCTAGAAATGCCGAGGCATTCCCTCCTTTCTATGGATTAATCACCTTCTACTCAAAAACAGAATATATCCCCATTCCTTGGGCTTGCCTCTCTCCCCTCTGGTCTCCCACCCCAATAAAGGTAAAGGGAAGAAGCGCTATTTTTGGCCATATTGTTGTTTGCTTGTTTCCTTCATGCATGCAATAGTCATAGCTAATGTTTAATGAGTGTTTATTATGTGCCAGACACAGTTCTAAGACCTTTCGGGAGTATCAACACCAAACTTCACCACATTATGAAGTAAGAACTACCTTACCTCCTTTTTACAGATGAAGACACTGAAGCATGGAGAGGATAAGTAGTCACTAGTAAGTGAAAGAACCGGGATTCAGATCCCCAACAGGCTGACTCCAGAGTCCCTCTGTTTCCTTACTGACTGTCATGTAGTCTCCTCAGCACTGCCTGAGATAGGTTTCTTAGCCACTTTTGACAGTTGATGAAACTGACTCTGAAAGGGTTAAATAACTGAAAAGTTTATATCCCAGGACCACCACTGAGCAGGTTTGGGGTTTTTTTCCTTAAACTTTATGACTGTAAGTCCTTACATAGAATGGAGATGGTAATATTCGATACCTCATAATATTGCCGTAAGGATTAAATGACTTCATGCATGTAAAGCACTTGGTATAGTCCTTGCCATGTAATAAGCATTCATTTTCATCATTATTATGATAATCCTCTGAGAAGGCAGTGGAATTGAGATGAAAGAAGCCAGAATTAATTCAGATACTTCGTCCTCTTCCTAATTAAGGAAACTTGGCTCCGTGGAGTCAAGGCCCTTCTTTAACACTGTAGTTTGTAACAAAGCAAAATGACATCCTGGGCCTCATGAGGATGTTTTGGTTTAGTTGTCTGAAAGTCACATGGACTCTGCTGTGACAAAAGGAATGCCTCTCTCTGGGGAACATGGAATTCCCCAAGGAATTTTTCTCATAGAATCTTGACAATTCCTGGCCAGTTGCACAGAGGACTTACTAGCTGGTATCTGAGCAAATAACTTTTGTGGTAGTCAGCCAGACGTAGGTTGGTGACTGACTTTCATTGTTTACAAACTTGTGTGACTTCCCAGAGCTTTCATGTGTAAAATGGTGACAATATACTGTATTCCCTTTGAAGAATTGTGGAGATTTAAAGAAAGTATTAGTAATCCCAGTGCTGTGGGAAGCCAAGGCAGGAGGATTGAGGCCAGGAGGTTGACCAGAGACCCAACTCCAAGAGGTTGCTACCTCCTGACCTGAAGCAATATAGTGAGCAATTGGGCAATACAGTGAAACCTCCATTTCTATAAAAAGTAAAAAAAAAAACAAAACAGCCGGGCGCAGTGGCTCACGCCTGTAATCCCAGCACTTTGGGAGGCTGAGGCGGGCAGATCATGAGGTCAAGAGATTGAGACCATCCTGATCAGCATGATGAAACCCCGTCTCTACTAAAAATACAAAAATTAGCTGGGTGTGGTAGCACGGGCCTGTAATCCCCGCTACTTGGGAGGCTGAGGCAGGAGAATTGCTGGAACCCGGGAGGCGGAGGTTGCAGTGAGCTGAGATCATGCCACAGCACTCTGGTCTAGCACCTGGCGACGGAGTGAGACTCTGTCTCAAAAAAAAAAAAAAAAAAACCTTTCTGGGCATGGTACTTGCCTGTAGTCCTCGCTACTTAGGAGGCCTAGGATGGAGAGTCACTTGAGCCCAAAGTTTGAGGATACAGTGAGCTATGATCACATCACTGTACTCCAACCTGGGCAACAGAGTGAGGCCCTGTCTTAGAAAAAAAAAATGTACACACACACAGAGAACACCTAGTATTAGTATATCTGTTGTTAATGAGTTTTTGGCTGATGGAGAGAGGGGATCAAGAGATACTATGCTCAGGCCGGGTGCGGTGGCTCAAGCCTGTAATCCCAGCACTTTGGGAGGCCGAGGCGGGTGGATCACAAGGTCAAGAGATCGAGACCATCCTGGTCAACATGGTGAAATTCCGTCTTTACTAAAAATACAAAAAATTAGCTGGGCATGGTGGCACGTGCCTGTAATCCCAGCTACTCAGGGGGCTGAGGCAGGAGAATTGCGTGAACCCAGGAGGCGGAGGTTGCGGTGACCCGAGATGGCGCCATTGCACTCCAGCCTGGGTAACAAGAGCAAAACTCCATCTCAAAAAAAAAAAAAAAAAGAGATACTATGTTCATCCTGAAAACCAAGAGCAGAGGGGAATCCCAGCTGTGTGTATATATATATATATACACACACACACACACACATTTTTTTTTTTGAGATGGAGTCTTGCTCCGTCACCAGGCTGGAGTGCAGTGGCGCAATATTGGCTCACTGCAACCTCCGCCTCCTGGGTTCAAGCGATTCTTCCGCCTCAGCCTCCCGAGTACCCAGCTGTATATTTTAAGTTTCCCAAGGAGTATCTGGACTGTTGGGTGAGGGAGTTAGAGTGGGGGTTGTGAGTGAGGACAGAAAGAGCTGAAGGGAAGAAAGCATTTTTAGACTTAAGACTATTAGTGCTACGTGGATTTTCACTACTTCTTTCTGCTCCCCAGCTCTGCAATCCCAGAGTAAAGCTCTTCTCCAGATGAAGAGCCAGGAAGAGGGAAAGGTGACAGGAATTACACTCCTTAAAGCCATGTCCCTGGTGAGTTAGTATCCCCTCTCTCCCCACTACAGTCGTCTTGCTTTTCAGGATTTGTAATACTTGTTTTCTTCTGAAAATTTTCTGCTTAAGAGTTCCATCCTGAGGCCTGTTTCCTGTTTCTTTCCTTTCTGACATGGGATGGGGTTGTGAGTGAGGGACAGACTCACACAGCCCAGTGCCCTCTCAGAGGTTTCTTCTCTTCTTTCTACTCAGTTTATTTTTCATTCAAGAAGCGACCCAGTCTGAGTCTTGCCTTTGTGCTCAGTCTTTTCATAGGCATCTGACAAGGCAGATGTACAATGTTTAGAGGAAATTTCCATGCCTAGTTCCTAAGCATCAGTCCTGATTCTCAGAGAGATTATAATCTGTTGGAGAAATGAAAAGGCAACAAACACTTATGCAGTGTGATACGTGCTGCAGGCAGAGAGCAAACTCACCGTGGAGTAGTTGGGAAAGGTCATTAATAGCCAACATAATGTCTTCGGGTGAATTAGAAAAAAAGGTGTCCCTTCCTCTGGACTGATGAAGCCCTGTGACAGACCATACAATATGGCAAGAGGAAGTCCACTGTATTTCAGCTCCTTCCTGCCTCCTTGGTGAGGTATCTGTGAGCAGGATATAGCCTGCATCATCATACTCACTCCCGAGGGCAGGAAGGGTTGGGGAGACTTCACAGAAGTAATGATTCCTAAGTTACAGCTTGAATGAAATGGAGGAAGTGCAGGCACAGGTAGGATTGGTGGCATTCTGACCAGAGTGTGCAAAGGTTTGTCCTCCCCATTTGACCACGGAGCCATGAGCGTCGTAAATGCCAAGGAATGTTTTACATCCTTTTTTCTTTCTAGGATGAATTCCATAAGCTGTTTAATCAGCCTCTCCTTGTTCCGTAGGTAAATTGTTGCCAGTTATCTACTATTAATAGAGTATTGCAGTAATCATCCTTGTAGTTGAATTTTTGCCCGCATCTCCGATTATTTTCTTTGACTAAATTCCTAGTTTTTCATTCCTTGTGGTTAGAGTTTCTCAAACTGACCCTAGTCTAGAACATTTTTAATTTTACTATTTTTTGGCCAATAACAGGAGCTTCAGAGCCACAGTTCATGTTCTGATTAAGATAAACTGCTAAACTAGTTGCACCAGCAAATTGCTTATTTTAAGAAAGTATTTAACTTGATTTACAAACTTAGAAAATTAAACGTTTTTAAATGGAATAGTTAAGTATTTGTTTTGAGATGCAGTCTCACTCTGTTGCCCAGGCCAGGGTGCAGTAGCGCAGTCTCGGCTCACTGCAACCTCCACCTCCCAGGTTCAAATGATTCTCCTGCCTCAGCCTCCTGAGTAGCTGGGATTACAGGCATGTGCCACCATGTCTGGCTAATTTTTAAAAAATTTTTAGTAGAGATGGAGTTTTACCATGTCGGCCAGGCTAGTCTCAAACTCTTGACTTCAAGTGATCTGCCTGCCTTGGCCTCCCAAAGTTCTGGTATCACAGGTGTGAGTCACTGTGCCTGGCCCATTTTTTTTTAATAATAGGCATAACAACTTGTGGCCAGAGCATGACACTTTTTCTTAGGTATAATGCCAAAAACATACACTACCAAGGTAACTTGTTTCTTAGAGCATTTAGACATTTTAAACAAAAGCATTCATATCAGTTGCCAGAGAAAAATATTTTAAGAGTGGCAGAGTATGTCATGAAGGTTAAGATGGACTATGTACACTCTACTCTTTTTACCACTGAAAGTTGCTGTAACACCAGGACAGCATGCCTGGAACAGCAATCTGAGGTCTCTGTAAAGTAAATAGTAGCAGACAGGCCAGACACAGTGATTCACACCTGTAATTGCAGAACTTTGGGAGGCTGAGGTGGGTAGATCACTTGAGGCCAGGATTTCAAGACCAGCCAGCCTGGCCAACGTGGTGAAACCCTGTCTCTATAAAAAAAAAAAAAAAATGGCCAGGTGCTGTGGCTCACGCCTGTAATCCCAGCACTTTGGGAGGCTGAGGCGGGTGGATCACAAGGTCAAGAGATCGAGACCATCCTGGTCAACAAGGTGAAACCCCGTCTCTACTAAAAAATATACAAAAAATTAGCTGGGCATGGTGGCGCGTGCCTGTAATCCCAGCTACTCAGGAGCTGAGGCAGGAGAATTGCCTGAACCCAGGAGGCGGAGGTTGTGGTGAGCCGAGATCGCGCCGTTGCACTCCAGCCTGGACAACAAGAGCGAAACTTCGTCTCAAAAAAAAAAAATACAAAAATTAGCCAGGTATGGTGATACACACCTGTAATTCCAGCTATCTGGGAGGCTAAGGCATGAGAATCACTTGACTTGGTAGGTGGAGGTTGCCATAAGCCAAGATCATACCACTGTACTCCAGCCTGGGCAACAGAACAAGATTCTATCTCAAAAAAAAAAAAAAAAAAATTAAAAAGGAAAGAAGGAAAAAGTGGTAGCAGGGAGATCAGAGAAAAAGTGCCAAATTTGAAGTACTACCAGACTGTGGTGTATTTATGGTGTATTTACCTTCAAGAGACTCAAAACCTGGAAGTGGATAATGGTGTGGACAGAAAGAACTGCAGGAGATGCCTTCTAGTTGATAATCAAACTGCTGAAAGCTAAAGACAAAGAAAAAAAATCTCAAAAACCAGCCATTGAAAAATGATGCATAACACATAGGACAACAGTGATTTGAATGGCTGTGGGTTTCTTAGCAGAAATCGTGGAGCCAGAAGAGAGTTGAACACTTTTACAAGTGCTTAGAGAAAATAACTGTCAACCTAGAAAACTATGTCCAGGGAAAATAGCCCTAAGGAAGGCAGATGAAATAAAGTTACTCATAGGCAAGAAAACTAAGAACATTCATTGCCAGAATTCTACAAAAATCACTAAAGGGAGTTCTTCAAATAGATATTATAGTAGAAGGGGACTTGGAGCATTAGGGTGAAAGAAGTGCAATAGAAATGGGAAATACTGTATGTAAATACAATAGACTGTTTTCTTTTATAAAAATATCTTAAGTGGTTAAAAACAAAGCTACTAGCTTAAACAGAATGGTATTTTAATAGAGGTGATCCAGATTCAGAGACCATGTCTTCACTATTTAGTATACTACAGTTAGATGCAGTAAGATGTAAGAACTATTATTGAAGTATTAAATGAAATGTTTCACCCGTTCTTTTTGGCCTCTTCTTTCTTCTCTTTCTTTTTCCCCTTCTGTCCATCTTTATCACAGGCAACAATTCATTAGCAATTACATTGTGCCAGGCACTTTATACCTGTTTCTTTCATTTTCACAGTGCTACCATGAAGCAAGTACTATATTTCCATTTTTCAGGTGGGAAAACTGAGGCACAGGGAAGTTAAACTTGGCCAAGCTCACCGAGCTAGTTAGTACTGGAGACCAAATTGATTGGAGTAATCTGACGTTTTTTCTGATTTATTCATGACTTGTATTTATTTAAAACTCTGATGTTGATTTAAGTGAAGTCATGAAATAAATTGAAAATCTGCCAGTAATAGTCCAGTGGATCACCTTGTGCGTTGGTTAGGAAATGGAGCTTATATAACAAAACACAGGTTGCTTGATATGTGCTCACATCCCATGATTTCTCCCGATAATTTCTTTTTTTTTTTTTGAGACGAAGTTTCGCTGTTGTTACCCAGACTGGAGTGCAATGGCACATTCTTGGCTCACCGCAACCTCCGCCTTCTGGGTTCAAGCAATTCTCCTGCCTCAGCCTCCCGACCTCCTGATAACTTCTTATTAGATTATCAAAAACCAACTTTTGGCTTTGGTGCCTTAGGCCTATGATCACAACTGTTTGGTAGGCTGCGGTGGGAGGATTATGAGAGGACAGGAGTTTGAGATCAGCCTGGGCAATATAGTGAGACCCCATCTCTGCTAGCTAAATAAATAAGTAAGTAAACAAACAAACAAACAACTTTTCAAATGTGTTCTTCTCTCCTGATACAAATATATTTTTGTTTCAGAAGGAAAGACTGTGGCTAGGTGTTTTTTTTTTTCTTTAATTTTTAAGGCATCCCTCTTAACATCTCAAAAACACCAAGATTTCTTAGAAAATATTATAGAGATTGAGGCTGGGCGCAGTGGCTCACGCCTGTAATCCCAGCACTTTGGGAGACTGAGGCGGGTGGATCATAGGTCAAGAGATCGAGACCATCCTGGTCAACATGGTGAAACCCTGTCTCCACTAAAAATACAAAAAATTAGCTGGGCACGGTGGCGCGTGCCTGTAATCCCAGCTACTAAGGAGGCTGAGGCAGGAGAATTGCCTGAACCCAGGAGGTGGAGGTTGCGGTGAGCCGAGATCACGCCATTGCACTCCAGCCTGGGTAACAAGAGTGAAACTCCGTCTCACAAAAAAAAAAAAAAAAAAGAAAATATTATAGATTGAAATCTTGTTCATCAAGTCAGCATTCTTCGTTGCAAGTTTTTTTCACAGTTCCAGAGCTCTTTAGGTTCTCCATGTAGAATAGTGATTTAGCTCCCAACATAAATAGCATTGCATTAGCACTTGATTATATCCTGTTTTGCATGTAGTCAGCATTTTCTCATTAGTAATGTATTCTTACCACCATAGAATTGCAAATGTTTGAAGAGCAAGGAGTATCTCATTTTTTCTGTTTCCTAATATGTACAGTATAACTAGGCAGAAAAGTTGTCCAGTAACTTACCTGACCTGGATCATTTACACCCTTAGTGCAGTTACTTATGCACAGTGTTTTTAATCCAAAAGTGAGGACAGCTTAACCCTTTACCCTAGAACCACATTGGAATGTGAACACGGAGTGAGCAAGATTATATTTGTGTCATTTTAGGGTTCAGTGACTTTCACAGATGTGGCCATAGACTTTTCCCAAGATGAATGGCAGTGGCTGAATCTTGCTCAGAGAAGTTTGTACAAGAAAGTGATGTTAGAAAACTACAGGAACCTAGTTTCAGTGGGTAAGAGTATCTTCTTCCTTCTACCTCTCCATGACTCAATAGTCTTTTATGCTGTTATCAGAATTTCCCACCGTCTTCCACAACATAGGCAATTTTTATATCTTGTTTTGCATGCAGGTCTTTGCATTTCTAAACCAGATGTGATCTCCTTACTGGAGCAAGAGAAAGACCCTTGGGTGATAAAAGGAGAGTTAACCAGAGGTCTGTGCTCAGGTAAGTGCAGGATACCTAGAGATAAATTGTTCTTGACATGTTCTTCTCTCTGAAATTTGTTGGAATACACCTCTCAGACTCCCTCCCAAATTGAAACTTGTTCTTCTAACACTAGTTTTTGAATGGTTAGTCTCTTCCCTACTGGTGTAACATACTGCTTTACCTTTATTGATTTCTTGTGCATACCAGGGTCTGTTTCTAAGTTCTTGTTTTACTGATGTTTACCTAATTCTGCTCAAGCACCATAGTGTTGTCATCATCTCTGACCTCAAACATTTCTGAATCCTTTAGACAAATGGATGTTTAGTGTTTTGACTGGTTTAAATATTTTCCTTTCTTTAAAAGGTAAGTAGGTTGAGTTAACATGTATTACAGCTATGTTCTTCTCTCCGACTTTTTCTCTTTGATATTTCTTTTGTTATTTATTAGTGTTTTGTTGTTTATTAGGTCTGTTTTTTCTCACTCTCTTCTTTATACCACCCCACCCTTTGAATTAGAAAAGTTTTTAGTACTACAAGTTGTTGCCTTTATGTATTTATATATTTTAAAATCTTTTAGAGTATTTCCACTTGAAATTCCAAACATTATCTTCTGATACCCTTATGAAAGGTAAAGAAATTCGCTTATGAATATTACTTCCTTTCCCTATGTTCATCATTTCCCCTCTTACATTGTACTCACTGGGATTTTTGGCCCAGGGCATATTATTCAGTTTTAAAGGAAATTTTCTTGCCTTGTTTTGTAGTAGTTTTACTGATTGAGAAAACTAGATAAGAGATGATAAATATATTGCAGGAAAAAGAACCTTAAATGAGTTGGTCCTGGTTTAATCTGTGGCCTGAAGCATAGACTTTTCCTACTTTTGGTTCTTCATTTTATTTTACTTAATTTTTGAAATTAGAGACAGGATCTTGCTATGTTACCCAAGCTGGAGTTAAGCTTTTGGGCTCAAGCAGCACTCCCACCTCAGCTTCTTGAGTAGCTAGGACTTCAGGAATGCACCACCACACCTGGCCCTGCTTTCAGTTCTTATAGTTTCAAGAAGAGGATTAAGGGTCACTCGTGGTCCTAACTATGTACATTAATAAATAAGAAATAATTAAAATCAGTAAGCATCCAATTCACAATATTAGAAAAAGAACAAAATGAATTTAAGGAAAACCTGGATGTGTTGTGATTTATACTTCTAGAAATAAAAGTAGGAATAAATGAATTAGAAACAGTAGCTCTAGTGAAAATAAGTCAAGTATTGTACATACTTCTTTAGAAAACCAATACAGTATATAAACTGTAAGGACAAATGAGAGAAAACACAAAAACAAAATAATTATAAATAACCACACATGTATAAGAATTTACAAGAATCATATGAATCTATTTTCAACTCTCTGTAAATAATTTGAAAAAACAGATGCTATTCTAGGAGAGTATAAAAATGTAGGTTACTGTAACTAATACCAAGAGAAGATATAAAATTTAAACAAGTAGGTTACCATCAAAGAAAGGTAGAATATTGTATGGAAACTGCCTCCCCCAAGAAAAGAAGCTACATTCCCAAATAGTTGTTTAAGGAACAATAGCACCAATGTTATTTAAATTGTTCTGGGATAGAGAATAGAAGGAAAGCTTAAAATATATTTATGAATACCGCATATCCTATGATACCAAAATCTACCCTAATAGCACCAAAAAGGGAAATTAGACACAAACCTCAAATACCAATATTGATTCAAAATCTTAAAATAGTATACCATGACCAGTTAGGATTTATTATAGTAGGACAAGGATGATTGTATCACTGAATCTTATGTAAGAACTATAAAACATGTATCTCTGCGTGTGGGTTTCAATAACTATGTGATCCGCATTGTCATTTTTGAAGTTTCCATTTTAGCATTTAATAAAGGAGACATTTGCTTTCTAAATATCTTTCAGACTTGGAGTATGTGTGGGTGACCAAGTCATTATCTCCAAATCAGGATATTTATGAAGAAAAATTACTCCCCACAATAATAATGGAAAGACTTACCAGCTATAACCTTGAATGTTCAACATTAGGGAAAAACTGGAAATATGGAGACCTGTTTGAGAGAGAGCTTGTAAATCAGAAGACACATTTTAGACAAGAGACCATTACTCATATAGATACTCTTATTGAAAAAAGAGACCACGTCAACAAATCTGGGACAGATTTTCATCTGAATACATTATCTTATATAAAACAGGTGTTTCCCATGGAAAAGAAAACATTTCATTTTCATACAGATAGGAAAAGCTTAAAAACACATTCAGTTGTGAAAAAACACAAGCCAGACTGTGGAGAAAAGAAACTTTTAAAATGTAATGACTGTGAGAAAATGTTCAGCAAAATCTCAACCCTTACTCTTCACCAAAGAATTCATACTGGAGAGAAACCCTATGGATGTGTTGAATGTGGAAAGGCCTTTAGCCAGAGTGCCCACCTTGCTCAACATCAGAGAATACACACAGGAGAAAAACCCTTTGAATGTACTGAATGTGGGAAAGCCTTCAGCCAGAATGCTCATCTTGTTCAACACCAGAGAGTTCATACTGGAGAGAAACCTTATCAGTGTAAGCAGTGTAATAAAGCATTCACCCAGCTTGCACATCTTGCTCAACATCAGAGGGTTCACACTGGAGAAAAACCCTATGAATGTATTGAATGTGGGAAGGCTTTTAGTGATTGTTCATCCCTTGCTCATCATCGAAGGATTCACACTGGGAAAAGACCCTATGAATGTATTGACTGTGGGAAAGCTTTCAGGCAAAATGCTTCTCTTATACGTCATCGGCGATATTATCATACTGGAGAGAAACCCTTTGACTGCATTGATTGTGGAAAGGCTTTCACTGATCACATAGGGCTTATTCAGCATAAGAGAATTCATACTGGAGAGAGACCTTACAAATGTAATGTGTGTGGGAAGGCCTTTAGCCATGGCTCATCTCTGACAGTACATCAGAGAATTCATACAGGAGAGAAACCTTATGAATGCAGTATCTGTGAGAAAGCTTTCAGCCATCGTGGGTCTCTTACTCTTCATCAGAGAGTTCATACTGGAGAGAAACCCTATGAATGTAAGGAATGTGGGAAAGCTTTCCGGCAGAGCACGCATCTTGCTCATCATCAGAGAATTCATACTGGAGAGAAACCTTATGAATGTAAGGAATGCAGCAAAACCTTCAGCCAGAATGCACACCTTGCACAACATCAGAAAATACACACTGGGGAGAAACCTTATGAATGTAAGGAATGTGGTAAGGCTTTCAGTCAGATTGCACACCTTGTTCAGCACCAGAGAGTTCATACTGGTGAGAAGCCTTATGAATGTATCGAATGTGGGAAGGCCTTTAGTGATGGCTCATATCTTGTTCAACATCAGAGACTCCACACTGGCAAAAGACCATATGAATGTCTTGAATGTGGGAAGGCATTCAGACAGAGGGCATCTCTGATTTGTCATCAAAGATGTCATACTGGTGAGAAACCTTATGAATGTAATGTTTGTGGGAAAGCCTTTAGCCATCGTAAATCCCTTACTCTACACCAGAGAATTCATACAGGAGAGAAACCTTATGAGTGTAAAGAATGTAGCAAAGCCTTCAGCCAGGTCGCCCATCTTACACTGCATAAAAGAATTCATACTGGAGAAAGGCCCTATGAGTGTAAAGAATGTGGAAAAGCCTTCAGGCAGAGTGTACACCTTGCACACCATCAGCGAATTCATACTGGAGAGGCATCAGTTATTCTCTCCTCTGCCCTCCCATGCCACCAAGTCCTGTAGATTCAGTCTTGTAAATGCCTCTAGAATCCATCTGCTTTTTTTCCAGCGCATGTGTCATCATCATAGTCCAAGATACAACATCAGAGACTCCACACTGGATTTCTGGATTAGATTAGAAATCATCTGGACTTCTGCAGTAGCGTAACTCTTGCCCCTTTTGCTCCTATCAAGTACATATTTAACATTGTAGGCAGCTTAATCTTTTAAAAATAAAAATACTTATTTATGTTACCTTCTCATTTAAAACACTTGATTTGAAAAATATATTAACTAACCCATTTCAAGGGTTTAACACATACTGTTTGGCTCATAGTTAGTGCTTAATAATTGCTAGCCATAAGGAAAGGTTTCCTTACAAACTCTCATATTAAGCCGCAGGTAAACGAATCCAGCAAGTCAAGACTAAGATTTTAGAGCAGACAGAAGACTCTACTCTCCTGGTAGAGAGGAAAGATGAACAAACTCAGAATTTAAAGATATATGGTACACAAGGCAACATGGTAGTTTATCACTCCCTCTGTGACCTTGTTGATGAGAAACTCTCACTTGACCTGACACTGAGAAGAATCAGCCAATTAGGACAAAAGCTTTTAGCTCGGCGTGGTGGCCCATGCTGGTAGTCCCAGCACTTTGGGAGGCCAAGGCAGGCAGATCACTTGAGCTCAGGAGTTTGAGATCAACCTGAGCAACATGGTGAAATCTTATCTCTACAAAAAAACCTGCAAAAATTAGCCAAGCATAATGGTGCACACGTGTAGCCCTAGCTACTCGGGAGGCTGAGACAGGAGGATCACTGGAGCCAGGAGGCAGAGGCCGCAGTGAGTCATGATCACACCACTGCAATTTCAGCCTGGGCCGCAGCAAAGCCAGGCTGGAAAAAAAAATTTTAAAAGAAGAAAAGCATTTGGTAGAATGCAGAAATGTAAAACCACTAACCAGGGGAGTAGTATTAAAAGTAACAAGCCAAAAAACTTGAATAGATTAATAGCTATGAAACAAACTGAAAAGGGTAGTTCAATACTTTCACTGTTATAAAAGTACCACAGTCAATTTCTGTGGTGTTTAAATTGTCCTAGCATAAAATAAAATGCAAACTTTCCATCTTGACAAGATATGCCAAAACATAAAAATATATACACTGCATTTAGCTTCTGAATGTCATGTTACAACTTAAACTTATTTTCAAAATATTAAAAAATAGGAAGGCAAGACATGTCTCTGTATAGAAAGTCTGATAAAGATATTCCTAAGTTAAATTTATAAATTCATTGATACTCAAATAAAAATAACAGAGTCCAATAAAAATCTCCAATATATTTTTTAGTTGAAAAGCTGATTCAGATCATTTGTAGAATTTTGATTTTAGCAAGGAATGTCGTTTACATTGGAAATGTAGTACTAATACTAATTGAACATTTGCTAATGTGTCACACACTTTTAGGTGCTGGGGGATAAAACAAAGTACAAAATGGACAAAAATATGTGCTCTTACAGATCTAGTAGAAAAGAAAAAATTAAATACATGCCTTGTGATAAATATATAGTATGTTCCATAAAGAGAAATGATCTAAAAAAGAAGCTAGGGAGTGCTGGATTAGGCACCTTACTATCCCCAGAGTATGTGGGTTAGAGACAGGATGAGGGAAGAACTAGAGGTAACTGTGAGACACGAAAGGTATAATGAAAACAGTCATGATCATCTCAAGGCAGATATTACGATGTTTTGAGTGTTGGAGGAAGGGAGGATTGATGGTTTAGCGGAGATCATGGCAGTTCCGTTCACTCCTATAATTGTTGATTTAGAGGCTGTTGGAAGCATATTTTTTGAGTGATAGCTTTATTGAGAAATAATTCACATACTAAGCAATTCTGCAGAAGAACACCCATGTCCTATCCTCTCTGTATCCATCGGCAGAAGTGAAGAGGGAGCCCCAAAGCTCCACTTGTGTGTAACTTACAGCTTTTAGTTCATTCACAGAGTTGTACAGCCATCACCACGGTCAATTTTAGAATCTTTTCATCACCTCAAAGAGGAATTCCGTGTCCTTTTGTAGTGATGTTCATCCCTGGAAGAGTACTTTTTTTTTAAAAACTGAAGCACCCAGAGCTCTTGGGTTCCCTGTTAACTGCTTCCCATGGCAGTATAGAGGGCCGTATAAGGAAAGCTCTTGTCCAGAGTACATGATTGCTAGAAAATGGAACTTGGGGCTCCCTCTTCACTTCTGCTGATAGAAGCATAGTGGCTAGGGGATGGGTAGTCTCACCGGAGAATGTGGAGCTTTCAGACTCCCCTTAAATATGATGAAAAGTATTTTTCCTTGTAGCGTGGAAAAGGTGGTTTGATCAGTTGTCATTGGGAAATAGCTCACTGCAAAAACAGATCTGTATAGATCTGTACCTTTCGCACAAATAAAGGCGTAAGAGAGTAAAGGTCTAAATGTAAAAGTACATGAAAACCCTTGGTTTCAAATAGACTTTAGGCATTAATGCATAACCCCAAAGCTGAAATTAGTCTTTTATATGGTGGAAAACATCACAGTCAGTAGAAGAATGAGAGACCGACACAAAATGTTTGCATTGTGTCAAAGGACCCTAATTCATGATATTCAAAGTACTATTACAAACCAATAACGCTCTGCAACTTTGAAAAATGGACAAAACCAATGGTCCATTCACAAAAGATGAGATAAAAGCAGTTAATGAAAATCATCCAATATCACTAGAAATCAAGGAAATGCAAATTAAAGTGATTATCTACTTTTTCCCCAAAAGACTAATCAGTTGATAACATCCAGTACTGGTGAATACGTGTAAACAAGGCAATTCCATTGTTGATTATCTATCTATTGCTTTATGTATATACCCTTTGAATTAATGTTCCTTGGAAACCAACATATACAAAGATAGATAAACGTATTTGTGGAAAAAAATTAATGGTAAACTATTAAACAACCTACATTCCCATCAGGGTAATGAATAAATTAATTATGGTATATGTCCATTCAATCAGAATTATGCAGCTGTTGAAAAAATATAGTCATAGAAAGATAGCTGTGCTATACTAAATGCAAAACTGCAGACCTGTATTATAGTATAGACTCGTAATATCAAAAATAAAAATATATATTATAGTAGGCATCTGTGTTTGTCTGCCTGGCTTCACTTGCCTCTTCCTTTTGGCTGCACCATCTCATATTTTCCTTTGAGTAACTGGCCACACCCCCTACCACATGGTTCTGATGGATGTGGCCAATAAAACCGTCTGAATTTCAAAAGGTATTTGGGTCTGTGGCATTCAGTGACAACTCGAAAAACAGATACAGTTATTCTTTTGGAATCACCCGGTTTTTGTACTTGCTAAGACTGTAATTCCTCAGACTACCCATTATCTTTCCAGCACTTGATTTTAGCCTCCGGTTGGTCAGTTGCTTGCAATTAAAGAAACAAACATACAGAATTTGGTATGAAGATTGGGTAATAGGCATTAGAATCTTTGGGAAATAAGGTATTGGGAGGTGCTTTTTGGATGAGATGGGGCAAATAAGACTTACTTTCTAGCCTGTAAAGCAACTCATGGTGTGCAGTGAGCAAACACCTGATTACTAATTGTAGTCACCTGGGCTGAATAGCGGTCTAGGGTTCTGGATAATGACAATTTAAAGAGGCTGGAGAATGCTGACTCCAAAAGGTATATCTGATACTGGTATCTAACTGCTTTTAATGATTTAAAGTTTAGCTATTGAACTTCTAGCATTAAGGCAAAAAATTCAACTAAGGGATTTCGTGTGTTGAAAGATGCGGTACACTGTTTGAAGTCATAGGGATTAAGCTGGCTCAAAACTGAGAGACTATTTAGAGACTATTTGTATGCACTGCTAAAGTGGAATGCTGGTTAAATTTCACACTTTATTCACAACAGTCCCTGTGAATTGAATTGTGAATTCAGTTCTGAATTGTGCTCCCACCCCCGCCATCACCAAATTTACTTGTTGAAGTCCTAAACCCCAAAGTGACTGTATTTGGACATAAGGCCTTTAAGAAACTAAGGTTAAGTTAGGCCTAATCCCATAGAACTAGTGTCATTGTAAGAGGAAGAGACGCCAGAGCTCTGTCTCTCTCCACCTGTGCACAGAGAAAATACCATGTAAGGACACAATAAGAATGCTGCCATCTGCAAGCCAGGAGGAGAGATCTCACAGGAACCAGCCCTGCCAGCACCTTGATCTTGGACTTTCAGTCTCCGGAACTGTGAGAAAATAAATGTTGGTTGTTTAAGCCGCCCAGTCTATGAAAAGATGCTCAACATCATTAGTCATCAGGGAAATGCATATCAAAACTGCAATGAAATTGTCCCCTGGAAGGGCCAGAGGGCAAGGAATGCTGGGTGACAGAGCAAGACACTGCCTCAAAAACAAACCATCTATGCTTCAAAAACATCATCAAGAAAGTGAAATAATAAATTCACAAAATGAGAGAAGATATTTGCAAATCATTTATCTGTAAAGGACAGGAATCCAGAATTACAACTTAATAACAAGGCAACCCAATTTAAAATAGGCAGAAGGCTTGAGTAGACATTTCTCCAAAGAAAATATATTAATGAACAATGAGCACATGAAAAGATGCTCAACATCATTAGGGAAATACATATCAAAATGACAATGAATTGCCCCCTGGAAGGGCCAGACAGAGGGCAAGGAATTCTGGGGTGGATGACCTCATCCCTGTTGGTGAAAGAGCCTTCCCAGGGTTCTCACTCTCCAGTGACAGCTGGAAATGTGGTGTTTTGTTTAGTAGAAATGAAGGCACATGAATCATGAGAATAATGAGGTAAAAATCCCGTAACATATGCACACATATTTATTCCATCTTAATTTTGTTCTAACAAAACACCTTGCATACAGGAACTAGCCCTATATTCCTTTGTTCCCACTGAAAGATTTTTTTCTTTATTAAAAAGGAGCACATGCACATTCATCTATACATTCAGTGTAATTCAAAAAAAAATCATAGTATGATTTAAATTGACCATCATAGACTGATTCTGTTATCACAATTGGACTCAGTTCTTTGGCTCTCACATAAGTAGAAATTAACATCAAGCCAAACAGAAATTTTCTCAGGGAAGGTTTAAGAGGCTTGAAGCTCAAGCTATGCAAAGTGTCTTCCACATTTTCGGGTATCTTACCAGCAACACCCTGCTCTACTGGTACCAATGTACTGTATTGGTCTGTTTTCATGCTGCTGATAAAGACACCCAAGACTGGTAAGAAAAAGAGGTTTAATTGAACTTACAGTTTCACATGGCTGGGGAGATCTCAGAATTGTGGGAGGCAAAAAGCACTTCTTAACTTGGTGGGGGCAAGAGAAAATGTGAAAGAAGCAAAAGTGGAAATCCCTAATAGCCCAATCAGATCTCATGAGACTTACTATCACAAGAATAGCTTGGGAAAGACCAGCCCCCACGATTCAGTTACCTCCCCCTGGGTCCCTCCCACAACACGTGGGAATTCTGGGTGATACAATTCAAGTTGAGGTTTGGGTGGGCCCATAGCCAAACCATATCACTGTCCTTTGGGAAACATAACGTTAGGTTGCCAACTTTATAGCACTTCCCAATTTAAATTGTAGGCAGACAAGTTTCCATTTCTTACTAAAGAGAAGTCTTGGCAACAACTGAACAATGTCTCTACTGTTTTCCCCAGAAGGACAAGCCTTGACTTTTACAGGAAGCTGACCAGGTGACACAAGAGCTATCTGATAAGTTGAAGGAATTGACATTCCGAGATCACAGTAGGAAAGACTCCCAGCACTCACCCAACGTGGCCTTCACACTGATGTGTTTATTGTGCTCCTTGTATCCCAGGAGGCTGGAACTCAGAATGCATGTACCTCACGGAACATCAAGGAACAGTCTTCAGAAGGGCAGTAAGGGCTGCTGTTCTTGTGATTAAACACTACTACTATGGAGCCTACACAGGACAGTCTGAGTTACACGTGATTTAGAGTAACTCAAATTGACTCCTCAGTTGTTAATAGCATATTGAGGTTTTAAATGTTTTCAGAAGAGGAGAAAGGCTTTAATTAAATCTGAGTAATTTTAAAGGAAATATATGATCATGAGTGAAAATGTGCCTCAAAATAGACATAAATGGCCTAACCGAATGTTAAAATTTAAAAAATCAAAATAATTTAGAATGCACATACGAATTTGGAAACAGGAAAAACAGACAGATATAAGGGTCTTATTTGCCAGGGGAGAGTCTGTAAAGTTAATTATGTGAACTTCTCCGTTGTAACCGCGTATTTTTACAGTCTGCTCTCTGACCGTTTCCTTCTTTGGGGAACAGTGATTTAGAGCTCCTGAAAATGTCACGTCAGTAAGTTGAACAAGAAGAACAGGACTGTTAAGAACAAGACTTAAGATGAAGCAACACAAGTTTTGAATATTTTATAATAGCTAAAGCACAAAAAGTTGCCAGCTGTCTCAGACTTCCACAAAGTGAAAAAAAAAATAACTAGAATCTTAATTGAAAAGAAGAAAAAGCATGTAAACAGGAGAGAATGCATGCAGAGAGTGGGGAAAGGTGAGTACCAGCTGGACTCTCGCCCTGGGCACTTGGTCCTGAGGATGAGGTAGAAGTTCAGCCTAGGCACCAGCTCCACCTCTTGAAATAGTTTGGGTATCTGTCCCTGCCCAGAATCTCATGTTGGATTGTAATCTCCAGTGCTGCAGATGGGGCCTGGGTGGCGGTGTTTGGATCGTGGGGCAGTTCCTTCAGGGCATGGTGTGTCTTCTCCATAATGAGTGACTTCTTGTGAGATTAGGTCGTTTAAAAATGTGTAGCATGTTCCCCCGCTTCTCTCGTGCTCATGTGTTTTTGCCATGTGATATGTGGCTCCCCTTTCACCTTTTGCCATGATTGTAAGCTTCCTGAGGCCTCCCCAGAAGTCAAATGCCAATGCCAGGTTTCCTGTACAGCCTGCAGAACTGTAAGCCAATTAAACCCCTTTTCCTTACAGATTACCTAGTCCCAGGTATTTCTTTTTTTTTGAGACGGAGTTTCGCTCTTGTTACCGAGGCTGGAGTGCAGTGGCGCAATCTCGGCTCACAGCAACCTCCGCCTCCTGGGTTCAGGCAATTTTCCTGCCTCAGCTTCCTGAGTAGCTGGGATTACAGGCACGTGCCACCATGCCCAGCTAATTTTTTGTATTTTTAGTAGAGACGGGGTTTCACCATGTTGACCAGGATGGTCTCAACCTCTTGACCTCATGATTCACCCGCCTCAGCCTCCCAAAGTGCTGGGATTATAGGGGTGAGCCACCATGCCCGGCCAGATTACCTAGTCTCAGGTATTTCTTTATAGTAATGCAAGAATGGCCTAATATGCTCCTCAAGGACCTCATCTCTGAGAGGTCATACAACTCTTAGATTAGAGGGGCAGTTCGTTGCTGGATCCAGGAAGACAGGCCCCAGGTCCATGTTCTGGAAAGAGAGTCCTGGGGGGAGTAAAGGGTCTGCTTGCCTGGTAGGGAATATCCAGGGGCATCGCTGAAGAGGAGGCCTGCCCTCTGAGCAGGTGAGCACCAGCAGCTGGACCTCCTACCAGCCTACAGGGTCAAGGAGGGAGACCATCTTGGGCAAAGTAGGTGAGGGAAACAGAGGTGAGGCTGCTGAGTGAAGGTTGCAGTCGTGTCCTCTACCTCACCTACAAAACCCAGAGGTCAGCCTCCAGCCCCTCGTACTCCACAGACAGGCCTTGGGAGGCCTAATGGGAACCCACTGAGTGCTGAGCTCCAGGGCCCAGAAGAATTGACAGTCACCTTCAAGTCATCACCACCACCTGCTCTCCTGGTAGGGGCCCTGACTTCTGTCTCCAGGAACCCCCAACAAGTCTCCCCAAGGTCCCCATGCTCAAGGACTCGGGAAATGCTGAGTTAAAGGCTCTCTCAGGTCACACTAGTCCCAGAGGAGGCTCACCTGGCATGGAGGTTGGTGCCATGGTCTGGAGGCTCTGGGTTGAGGATGAGCATTGATCTCTAGGGAGTTGTGCGGCCCAGGGAGTCCAGACCAGCCCCCATCCAGGAGGAGGTAGAGACTGAACCCCCGTCACAGACCTGGGAAAAAGGACCACAATCCTTGAGTGTCCAAATTCCGGGATCTCTGGAGTGTGGGCATTCATCTGCTGGCTCAAAGGCTGGAGGAGAGAGGGGCAGAGACAAGGACTCGGAGATCCAGGGGATCCCCTGAGACTGCCCCCTGTTCAAATCTGAGCCTGCTTCTGCCCACTCACTGGGAGAATTGAGAGGGTCCCATTCCAGCTCAGCTTATGGAATGGGGGGGGGCCCACACTCCATTCCTCATGCCCTCCCTAGAACCAATTCTGTACCTGGCACACGCACCGAGAGCCTGTTAATTCAGTGACAATATCTGACAGAAGGTTCTTTCTCCATCTGAATGTACCACCTTCCTGTATCCCCCTAATCTGGGCATCTCTGATGCTCAGGAGCAGCTCCAGGTCTGGAGGTACCCCAGGGAGGCAAATGGACTCTGGGTTTCTTACAATATTTTGTGGGAAGGGTCATTTGTGGCCACTGGATCATTCAAATAAAAATGGTTGTCATCATGGACTCAGTACTCCCGAGCTGGAAAACCATCAGACAGGACATTCTGGGGATGGGCAGAGGCACAGGGCACCAGGACACACAGGCCCCCCCTGCACGCACACTGAACTCCTGCACTCACAGCTGGAATCGTGGATCCTGAGCCAGGCACTCTGGAAGAAACACCTGGGGAGGAATAGCTGTGGTTGGTTCCAAAGGCCAACAAACTGGGGCCCCAATAACCCCTCCCTCCTGTGCCTCCCTTGGGATCATTCACACCCCCCACACCCTCACACATACATAAAGCAGAGGCCACAGCAGCAGCTCAGTGGCATCTCTGTGCTGGAGAACCAGGCCTGCCCCCATACTGTCCAGTTCCTCTTTTGGGGAAGAAAGAGGAAAAACCCCACTGGAAGCCACTGGGGGAGGTCAGGATGGTGATTGAACCCACAAAAGAAACTTCAGATCCACAGTCTTTGGAAATCAAAGAAGAGCTTAATAAATTGAGAGATATTCCACGTTCATGGGTAGGATGACTTGGTATTGTTCAGATGTCAGTTCTTCCTAATCTATAGACTCAACCAATCCCAACTAAAACCACAGCCAGTTGTTTCGTGGATCTTGAGAAAGTGATTATAAAGTTTATATGAAAAGGCAAAAATACTCAGAATAGCGAACACAATACTAAAGAAGAACAGAGTTGGAGAGCGGATGCTACTCAACTTCAAGACAGAGCTACTGTAATCAAGACAGTCTAGTATTGCCTGAAGAGTAGAGATGGAGCAATGGGACAGAACAGAGATCCCAGAAACAGACCTCTGTGAATGTACTCAGCTGATCTTTGTCAAAGAAGCAAAGGCAACTTAATGGAGAAAGAAGAGTCTTCAGAACACGGTGCTGGAACAATGGGATAGACGAATGCAAAAAATAGACACAGACATTTTTCACAAAATTAACTTAAAATGGATCATAGACTTAAATGTAAAAATGTAAAATTATCAAACTCCTAGAAAGTAGCAGGAGAAAATCTAGGTGACCTTCATTTTAGCAATGAGTTTTTAAATATAAGATTGAAAAAGCACAATCCAGAATAATAAAAATAAAAAATAAAAGCACAATCCATAAAAGAAAAAACGTATAAGCTGTTCATTAAAATTAAAAACTGCTCTGTGGGCCGAGCCTGGTGGCTCATGACTGTAATCACAGAACTTTGGGAAACAAGGCGAGCGGATCGTCTGAGGCCAGGAGTTTGAGACCAGCCTGGCCAACATGGTGAAATCCCGTCTCTACTAAAAATACAAAAAATTAGCTGGGTGTTGTGGCAGGCACCTGCAGTCCCAGCTACTCAGAGGCTAAGGGAAAAGAATGCCTAAACCCAGGAAACAGATGTTGCAGCGAGCTGAGATCATGCCTGAGCGACAGAGAGAGACTCTATCTCAAAAAACAAACAAACAACTGCTCTGTGAAAAATACTGTTAGACTTAAAAGACAAACCACCATTTGGAGGAAATATTTTCAAAATACACAGCTGCTAAAGGACTTACATACAAAATATAAAAAGAACTCATAAAACTCAACAGTAAGAAAACAACTCACTTGAAAAATGGGCAAAAGATCTAACCAAAACCAACAAAGAGGATGTACAGATGGTAAATAAGCATAGGAAAATATGCTTGCCATCATATCATCATCATATGTCACTGGGGAATTGCAAATTCAGGCAATAACCAGATATGACTACACACCTATTAGAGTGACTAAAATCCAAAAAGAAATTTCAGTACCGAATGGAGGCGAGGTTGTGGACAGCAGTTCTCGTTCCTTGCTGTGGGGAATGCAGTTTGGAAAACAGTTCGGTGATCTCTTACAAAGCTAAACATACTCTTGCCGTATTAGCTAACTCATCTGGAAAGCAGCTTGGCTGTTAAGATTGTTTATAAATCATAAGGTGTGTAAACCAGAGGCCAGACCAAAGGAAACTCATAACAATAAGGATTAATGCTTTTTTCTTGTATCAAAAGACAAAAGGAATTGACACTTAGTTTAAAGATATAGTTGCCTTTTTTTTTTTTTTTTTTTTTTTTTTTTTGAGGAGGAGTACAGTGGTGCAGTCTCGGCTCACTGCAACCTCCACCTCCCTCCCGGGTTCCTCCGGTTCTCCTGCCTCAGCCTCCTGAGTAGCTGCTATTACAAGCAGGCACCACCGCACCCAACTAATTTTTGTATTTTTAGTAGAGATAGGGTTTCACCATGTTGGTCCGGATGGTCTCTATCTCTTGACTTCATGATCCACCTGCCTCATCCTCTTGAAGTGCTGGGATTATGGGCATGAGCCACCTTGCCTGGTCCCTAGTTGGTTTTTATTTGCAATTCTAGAATCCAGCAACACCTTGTTCTATAAAATACATCAAGTGTTCTGGTGATTATGAAGCAGAGGAATGTGGCTTCATAAACAAAAACGGGCTGAGGAAAGCAGAAACAGAACAAAAATGGACTGGTCATTTCAAAGTTACTTTCCCTGTCAAGGTTAAAGCAAAGGGGATTTCTTTTCTCATGCCTGCTAAAACCGGCCTGTTTGGGACTTGGCTGTTATTTCTCTCTCTCTCCTGAGAGGAGATAAGGTAACGAGTTAGTTGGATTCGGTGGCCTGGAACTTCAGCATGAGTAGCCCCATTTCGGTTTGATCTGCTGGGCCTAGTGCAGGAACTCAGTCCAAACCAACAGTCTCCTATGCATTGTATTCTACACCTATGCTCATTTTCTTCTTGAATATCGGTATATTTTAGAAGTGTTCCACAAGTAAGTATGATTATCAGGTGTAAAGTCCGGATGGTCCCTCGGTCCAGTCCATCGGCTGGACTGCAGGATGTCTGCAGCAGATGCAGATCTGACACACTCCTATTCCCCTCATTCTCTGCTTCCACGCATCCCTTGTCCTTTTCTATCTTCCTTCTCCCTCATCCCCCTCCTTACGCATTCTTTCCTCTGTTCCTCCTCGCCTGTCCTGCCCTCCCCAGCTACACTTCTTCTCTTTCTTTTCTCCTTTCCCCACACTTTTCTTCTTGCTTATAGTTCTTTCCACCTTCCCACCGTTTCTTCTTTCCTCCTCCTTGCCTCTCAATTCCCTTCCTTTCCTGCTTCCCTGCCCCTCCCTCCTCTCGCCCAGCTCCCTCTTCTTTCTGTTGGTTCCTCTCCTCCCTGACCTGTTGGTTTCCCTCACTCTCTCCCCAGCCCTTCCTCCTCCTCCTTCTTCCCATCCCTCCTTCTTCTTCATCTCTTTTTCCTCCTCCCCATCTCTCCTCCCTTTCACGTCCCTCCCCCTCCTATCTCTTCTCCCCGCTACTCCCCATCCCTCCTCCCTTTCCATCCTTCCTCCCAATCCTCTATCTTTTCTTCCTCCTCGCCGCTCCTTTCCCTCCATCCTTCCCACCCTTCCGCCCTCGGTCCCACCTCCCTTTTCCCTGTCTCCTCCCCCTCAATCCTCCCTCTCGCCCCCGCCTCCTTGGCCGCGGAGGCCTCTGGGAGATGAAGGAGCTCGGCTCTGCTCGGCCGAAAGGGCCCGAGGGCAGGTGGCGCGCACGGGCTTCTGGGAAGCGTAGTCTGGCGCAGTCCGCGCAGGCGCACAGCGGCCGGGGCCGGGGGGAACCTAGCGGGCGCGGTCATTGTCCCGGCAGAGCGGCGAGCGGGTGAGTGGGGCTGCGGGGTTCCGCCCACCTTCTACCTTTCCGGGGGCCGGACCCTGGTCCCGGGGAGGGCGCGGCCTGAGGGAGGAGGGGTGCAGGCCCAGGCACGCGGAGGGCAGGTCTGGGTGCTGCTCCTGGGCGTGCGGCGCTAGGGAGGACGTACAGGCCGGGACCGAGGTGCGCTCGGAGAGGCGGAGCAGCTGAGAGGGAGAGGGGAGGCCGAGGGGAGGCGGAGCAGCTGAGAGGGAGAGCGGAGGCCGAGGGGAGGCGGAGCAGCTGAGAGGGAGAGGGGAGGCCGAGGGGAGGCGGAGCAGCTGAGAGGGAGAGCGGAGGCCGAGGGGAGGCGGAGCAGCTGAGAGGGAGAGGGGAGGCCGAGGGGAGGCGGAGCAGCTGAGAGGGAGAGGGGAGGCCGAGGGGAGGCTGCGGGGAGGCCGCGGGGAGGCGGAGCAGCTGAGGGGCTGAGGGGAGGCCGAGGGGAGGCGGAGCAGCTGAGGGGCTGAGGGGAGGCTGCGGGGAGGCGGAGCAGCTGAGAGGGAGAGGGGAGGCCGAGGGCAGGCGGAGCAGCTGAGGGGCTGAGGGGAGGCCGAGGGGAGGCGGAGCAGCTGAGGGGCTGAGGGGAGGCCGAGGGCAGGCGGAGCAGCTGAGGGGCTGCGGGGAGGCCGAGGGGAGGCGGAGCAGCTGAGAGGGAGAGGGGAGGCCGAGGGGAGGCGGAGCAGCTGAGGGGCTGCGGGGAGGCCGAGGGCAGGCGGAGCAGCTGAGAGGGAGAGGGGAGGCCGAGGGCAGGCGGAGCAGCTGAGAGGGAGAGGGGAGGCCGAGGGCAGGCGGAGCAGCTGAGAGGGAGAGGGGAGGCCGAGGGGAGGCGGAGCAGCTGAGGGGCTGCGGGGAGGCCGAGGGCAGGCGGAGCAGCTGAGAGGGAGAGGGGAGGCCGAGGGGAGGCGGAGCAGCTGAGGGGCTGCGGGGAGGCCGAGGGCAGGCGGAGCAGCTGAGAGGGAGAGGGGAGGCCGAGGGCAGGCGGAGCAGCTGAGGGGCTGAGGGGAGGCCGAGGGGAGGCGGAGCAGCTGAGAGGGAGAGGGGAGGCCGAGGGCAGGCGGAGCAGCTGAGGGGCTGAGGGGAGGCCGAGGGGAGGCGGAGCAGCTGAGGGGCTGAGGGGAGGCCGAGGGGAGGCGGAGCAGCTGAGAGGGAGAGGGGAGGCCGAGGGCAGGCGGAGCAGCTGAGGGGCTGAGGGGAGGCCGAGGGGAGGCGGAGCAGCTGAGGGGCTGAGGGGAGGCCGAGGGGAGGCGGAGCAGCTGAGGGGCTGCGGGGAGGCCGAGGGGAGGCGGAGCAGCTGAGAGGGAGAGGGGAGGCCGAGGGCAGGCGGAGCAGCTGAGGGGCTGAGGGGAGGCCGAGGGGAGGCGGAGCAGCTGAGAGGGAGAGGGGAGGCCGAGGGCAGGCGGAGCAGCTGAGGGGCTGAGGGGAGGCCGAGGGGAGGCGGAGCAGCTGAGAGGGAGAGGGGAGGCCGAGGGCAGGCGGAGCAGCTGAGGGGCTGAGGGGGAGGCCGAGGGGAGGCGGAGCAGCTGAGAGGGAGAGGGGAGGCCGAGGGCAGGCGGAGCAGCTGAGGGGCTGAGGGGAGGCCGAGGGGAGGCGGAGCAGCTGAGGGGCTGAGGGGAGGCCGAGGGGAGGCGGAGCAGCTGAGGGGCTGCGGGGAGGCCGAGGGGAGGCGGAGCAGCTGAGAGGGAGAGGGGAGGCCGAGGGCAGGCGGAGCAGCTGAGGGGCTGAGGGGAGGCCGAGGGGAGGCGGAGCAGCTGAGAGGGAGAGGGGAGGCCGAGGGCAGGCGGAGCAGCTGAGGGGCTGAGGGGAGGCCGAGGGGAGGCGGAGCAGCTGAGAGGGAGAGGGGAGGCCGAGGGCAGGCGGAGCAGCTGAGGGGCTGAGGGGAGGCCGAGGGGAGGCGGAGCAGCTGAGGGGCTGAGGGGAGGCCGAGGGGAGGCGGAGCAGCTGAGGGGCTGCGGGGAGGCCGAGGGGAGGCGGAGCAGCTGAGAGGGTGAGGGGAGGCCGAGGGCAGGCGGAGCAGCTGAGGGGCTGAGGGGAGGCCGAGGGGAGGCGGAGCAGCTGAGGGGCTGAGGGGAGGCCGAGGGGAGGCGGAGCAGCTGAGGGGCTGCGGGGAGGCCGAGGGGAGGCGGAGCAGCTGAGAGGGAGAGGGGAGGCCGAGGGGAGGCGGAGCAGCTGAGGGGCTGCGGGGAGGCCGAGGGGAGGCGGAGCAGCTGAGGGGCTGCGGGGAGGCCGAGGGGAGGCGGAGCAGCTGAGAGGGAGAGGGGAGGCCGAGGGCAGGCGGAGCAGCTGAGGGGCTGAGGGGAGGCCGAGGGGAGGCGGAGCAGCTGAGGGGCTGAGGGGAGGCCGAGGGGAGGCGGAGCAGCTGAGGGGCTGCGGGGAGGCCGAGGGGAGGCGGAGCAGCTGAGAGGGAGAGGGGAGGCCGAGGGCAGGCGGAGCAGCTGAGGGGCTGAGGGGAGGCCGAGGGGAGGCGGAGCAGCTGAGAGGGAGAGGGGAGGCCGAGGGCAGGCGGAGCAGCTGAGGGGCTGAGGGGAGGCCGAGGGGAGGCGGAGCAGCTGAGGGGCTGAGGGGAGGCCGAGGGGAGGCGGAGCAGCTCAGGGGCTGCGGGGAGGCCGAGGGGAGGCGGAGCAGCTGAGAGGGAGAGGGGAGGCCGAGGGCAGGCGGAGCAGCTGAGGGGCTGAGGGGAGGCCGAGGGGAGGCGGAGCAGCTGAGGGGCTGAGGGGAGGCCGAGGGGAGGCGGAGCAGCTGAGGGGCTGCGGGGAGGCCGAGGGGAGGCGGAGCAGCTGAGAGGGAGAGGGGAGGCCGAGGGCAGGCGGAGCAGCTGAGGGGCTGAGGGGAGGCCGAGGGGAGGCGGAGCAGCTGAGGGGCTGCGGGGAGGCCGAGGGGAGGCGGAGCAGCTGAGAGGGAGAGGGGAGGCCGAGGGCAGGCGGAGCAGCTGAGGGGCTGAGGGGAGGCCGAGGGGAGGCGGAGCAGCTGAGAGGGAGAGGGGAGGCCGAGGGCAGGCGGAGCAGCTGAGGGGCTGAGGGGAGGCCGAGGGGAGGCGGAGCAGCTGAGAGGGAGAGGGGAGGCCGAGGGCAGGCGGAGCAGCTGAGGGGCTGAGGGGAGGCCGAGGGGAGGCGGAGCAGCTGAGGGGCTGAGGGGAGGCCGAGGGGAGGCGGAGCAGCTGAGGGGCTGCGGGGAGGCCGAGGGGAGGCGGAGCAGCTGAGAGGGAGAGGGGAGGCCGAGGGGAGGCGGAGCAGCTGAGGGGCTGAGGGGAGGCCGAGGGGAGGCGGAGCAGCTGAGAGGGAGAGGGGAGGCCGAGGGCAGGCGGAGCAGCTGAGGGGCTGAGGGGAGGCCGAGGGGAGGCGGAGCAGCTGAGAGGGAGAGGGGAGGCCGAGGGCAGGCGGAGCAGCTGAGGGGCTGAGGGGAGGCCGAGGGGAGGCGGAGCAGCTGAGGGGCTGCGGGGAGGCCGAGGGGAGGCGGAGCAGCTGAGAGGGAGAGGGGAGGCCGAGGGCAGGCGGAGCAGCTGAGGGGCTGAGGGGAGGCCGAGGGGAGGCGGAGCAGCTGAGGGGCTGAGGGGAGGCCGAGGGGAGGCGGAGCAGCTGAGAGGGAGAGGGGAGGCCGAGGGGAGGCGGAGCAGCTGAGGGGCTGCGGGGAGGCCGAGGGGAGGCGGAGCAGCTGAGGGGCTGCGGGGACGCTGAGGGACCGAGGCGAGATCGGGGCCAGGGAGGGAGAGGCGTGGGCGGCTGGAGGTGGGAAAGTTGCTGGACAGCAGGGCCCTGCTGTGGGGGCGGCGGCCTGTGTGAGAGAGAGACACGCAGCGCGTATCGTCCTGAGGATGAGGCTGTCTCTGGTTACTGTCAATGTGTGTGTCCGCGTGGGTCTGTCTGTGTGTGAGGCAGTGTCGTCTTGAGGGCGTGGCTGTGTGTGGACATTGTGTGCGTGAGAGACAGGAGAGGAGAGAGGGAGAGACTGCGGTGTCGTCCAGAGGCTGGGGCTATGAATGTGAATGTGCGTGCGTGTCCTTGTGGGTCGTGTGTGGTGACGTGTGTGTGTTCGTCCCACTTCTTCAGAGTTTGGTCTCCCTGTGGAACTGTGTCTATGAATGTGAATGTGTGCGTGCGTGTCCTTGTGGGTCGTGTGTGGTGACGTGGGTGTGTGTGTTCGTCCCACTTCTTCAGAGTTTGGTCTCCCTGTGGAACTGTGTCTATGAATGTGAATGTGTGCGTGTGTGTCCTTGTGGGTCGTGTGTGGTGACGTGGGTGTGTTCGTCCCACTTCTTCAGAGTTTGGTCTCCCTGTGGAGCTGCGTCTATGAATGTGAATGTGCGTGTGTGTCCTTGTGGGTCGTGTGTGGTGACGTGGGTGTGTGTGTTCGTCCCACTTCTTCAGAGTTTGGTCTCCCTGTGGAGCTGCGTCTATGAATGTGAATGTGTGCGTGTGTGTCCTTGTGGGTCGTGTGTGGTGACGTGGGTGTGTGTGTTCGTCCCACTTCTTCAGAGTTTGGTCTCCCTGTGGAGCTGCGTCTATGAATGTGAATGTGTGCGTGTGTGTCCTTGTGGGTCGTGTGTGGTGACGTGGGTGTGTGTGTTCGTCCCACTTCTTCAGAGTTTGGTCTCCCTGTGGAGCTGCGTCTATGAATGTGAATGTACGTGTGTGTCCATGTGGGTCCTGTGTGGTGACGTGGGTGTGTGTGTTCGTCCCACTTCTTCAGAGTTTGGTCTCCCTGTGGAGTTGCGTCTATGAATGTGAATGTGTGCGTGTGTGTCCATGTGGGTCCTGTGTGGTGATGTGGGTGTGTGTGTTCGTCCCACTTCTTCAGAGTTTGGTCTCCCTGTGGAGCTGTGTCTCTCTGGGTCTCTGTCTACGCTTGTGTGGCGGTCTCTGAGTGACTGGCTGTGTCCGTATCTTCGGTGGTGTTGGTGTGTCAGCCTTGATCTCTGTCCCTGGGTCTCTGTGTGAGGGTGCCCTCCGGGTGTCTAGTCTTTCCCTTCATGTCTC